TAATTTATGATAGCAGGGTCTCTGTTTTATGATAGCAGGGTCTTTAATTTATGATATCAGGGTCTCAGATTTATGATAACAGTGTCTCTGATTTATGATAGCAGTGTCTCTGATTTATGATAGCAGGGTCTCTGATTAATGATAACAGGGTCTCTGATTTATGATAGCAGGGTCTCTGATTTATGATAGCAGGTTATTTAATTTATGATAGCAGGGTCTCTGCTTTATGATAGCAGGGTCTTTAATTTATGATATCAGGGTCTCTGATTTATGATAGCAGGGTCTCTGATATATAATAGCATAGTCTCAGATTTATGATAGCAGGGTCTCTTATTTATGATAGCAGGGTCTCTTATTTATGATAGCAGGGTCTCTGATTTATGATAACAGGGTCTTTGATTTATGACAGCAGGGTCTCTGATTTATGGTAGCAGGGTCTCTGATTTATAATAGCAGGGTCTCTGATTTATGATAGCAGGGTCTTTGATTTATGATAGCAGGGTCTCTGATTTATGATAGCAGGGTCTCTGATTTATGATAGCAGGGTCTCTTATTTATGATAGCAGGGTCTCTTATTTATGATAGCAGGGTATCTGATTTATGATAGCAGGGTCTTTGATTTATGACAGCAGGGTATCTGATTTATGATAGCAAGGTCTTTGATTTATGATAGCAGGGTCTTTAATTTATGATAGTAGGGTCTCTGATTTATGATAGCAGGGTCTTTGTTTTATGATCGAGGGTCTCTGATTTATGATAGCAGTGTCTCTGATTTATGGTAGCAGGGTCTCTGATTTATAATAGCAGGGTCTCTGATTTATGATAGCCGTGTCTCTGATTTATGATAGCAGGATCTCTGCTTTTTGGTACCGGTGGACTGGATACCTATGCTATCGGGTATTAATAAAGACGGCGGCAGCAGTTTCGGCCATGGCAAAGCTGCCTACCTTATGTGAAGGATTAGTTTGCACTTCGAGCACTCAGACTCAGCTGATTTACAAACTCAACCGTAAGATGGAAGCGATTTATGAGAATCACAGACCACTTGAGGCTTCTGGAACTCACCAGCATGTTGGAATTGATCTTTGAGAAGGCTAATAAGCATGGACCATCGGAAAGCACACAAATCTGGTCATTTTGGATCACGGGAGTACCAGCAGAACTCAGGGCTGACAAGAAAAACAGTCTGCCTGCATCGTGATGCCTGCACAAAAAAACAAATGTGGCTTATCTGAATCTGGCCTCCCCATTCGGCTACGAATAGGCCAACTTGTCAAATTGCTTCTGGGGATGTGTAAACTAATGCGGCTCCGCTCTATCCACCCCCGGCACCACCCCCAAGAACTTCTGTGAATGTTTATCAGAGCTGCACCGGCTGACACATCGAGACGGTGTAGGCAGGGCAGCCGACTCGGGACCCGAAGGTCCCGTGTTTGATCCCCAGTCATTGCACACCTCGTGGTGTCTCTGAGCAGGACAACTCATCCCCAGTTGCTCCCTGGGCGCTTCCAATAGCTGCCCACTGCTCCACCTGGTGGTGGATGGGTTAAATGCAGAGCCAATTTCGCCATTGTATGGGAACATACAATGATGACAATACATAACACATTATTATTATTATTATTATCTTATCAGGACTATGGTGCTATCTGGAAGTATTTTGTGGACAAATCTCACCATCTTGTCGTCAAATGCATATGTAATGCATCTATAAATGTGCTTGCTGGTAGATTTTTTTTATGTCTTAAACCGTGTCCTGACAAGGACAAGGTGTGAAGAGAGCTTTTTTTAATACCCACTATCCTCGTGGTCTTTCCCCTTTTCTATCTAAAGAATAAGGGGCCACGTTCCTTGGAGCTGCAGCCACGTCCACTCCGCCCATCTGTCGGATGACTGTACTATAATCTCGCTGTACTTGGGTGCAATGATAATAAAGCTTATTCTGATTCTCAAATAACAATGTGAAGCCAAGCCAACGGCTATGTTCAAGTTTTCATGAACTGCTGACATTTTTGAGATTTAAGTAGCTTTAGGATGGCAGAGGTCCACTTGTCCACCCCTCCACCTGTCTGAACAAACTTGCGAGGAGGGATAATTGAAATATTGCAGTGATTTGTGCTTTCTAGACCTTAACACCACCATTGCTTCTGTAACATACCAGAAACATGACGTTGCTAGTCTACAAACAGATCTGCATCCTGTTTTCACTTTACCTTTCCACTAGTCATATTTCCTGATTTATTTTTTGTTCTGCATCCATCACAAATGAGTCAAAACAAAATAAAAGGAAGTTTTTGGGTTGTGTTAGAAAACAAATACTTAAAAGTTTGCTTCAAAAGCTCCGACTGATTTTTTATTTATTTAAGATTGACATAATCTGCATCTTGTTCAGCAGAAGTTTCACTACTAACAACTTCTGGTGGAAAAAACAAAACCGCGTGAAAAAGTTGCAAAGACTTTCTGGAAGTTTCAGTTCAAATCATGAAACACTTGTGTGTTGGGACAAATTCAAAAGTTTGGTATAAGCAGTGAAGATAAGTTAAAATGTCCATTTCTGTTTGCCAGACTGACAGAACCACCGAATTAAATCCGAACTGTGGTTCATGAGATCCTTCAATAATAAACAAATGCGGCGGCGGGCGATCATGTAAGGATGTTTTAATATCCTCTTCAGGTGCAGTTTTCAGCTCAGATATGAACGAGTGGTCAAGTTAAAACTTTCATTTAGTAACTTGTAGCTGCAGGAAGTTTAAATAAATGAGGATCAAACGTGCTCTGTGTCTATTTTTATCTGCAGCAGCACGTGAGAACGACCTGCAGACGCCCCGCCCCCAGCTAGGCAGCACGCTAACTACCCCTGCTAACAGTTTTCTCTCCGCCTGCAGGCACAACGTCCCTACGGGCGTGTTGGTTTTATGAACGGCCGCACCGACAATCACAGAATGTTAGCTACGCTACAGAAACTGGCGTGACTGACACTAACTCACCGTCGACTGAGTGGCCATGACGTCAGAACACCGGGGCGGACATGACGTTAGGACCCCGGGATTAATGATGCGTTTGGGGTACCTCGGAAATAGACATTTCTCATGGAATGAAACGTGAATGTTGTTTCGACTTTTTGTTCATCTACAGTAATTTTCTTGTCAGTAGTTACATAGGTGTGATTAACATATGGAAAAAAAAAAATAGTATGTTTTATGAAATTAAAAAAAAGAAATAGGTTTGAGTTTACTAACAAGTGCCCTTTGTCTTGACACTAAAGAAAAAATGCACATTTAATAAACTTTAAAAAAAAGAACATTCGTCGTTTGAAAGTTTTTTCGTTTTAACGAGTCAAAAATTTAAAAAATTCCGATTTTCCAATTGGCATCAAATGCAGCACAGGTCGTTTCTCCTTCTTTGGGCAGAATGAATGTCGAACTGTTCAATGCTGCCCTCTGCTGGTTATGTTGTTACATTTAGGACTTTTTTTTTTTTTACCTTTATTTGAAACATCAGTTTACAAACAAAACAAGGCAACAACATCAGCACAAAACATCAGTTTTCACAGGTTGAATTGCATACACTCAAAGTAAAAAAAAACAAAAAACAAACAAAAACAAAATAAACAAAGAATGAAAATGAAACAAACACCGAGGTTTAAGCCAAATCAAAGTTGTTAATCAAACTACAAAGTTGTTGGGCAGATTTACTTTTAACTAAATTTAAAGACTCACGAAAACAAATTGGGAAATTTTTCCAATGACTTAAATTTGGGTTAACTTTAAAAAATCTGCATTTATGAACAAAAAACTTTCCCAATAAAACTAAATTATTGATTAAAAATTATGTTTTGGAGTTTTGAAAATATATACCAAATTTGATTATTGCTAGACTCAAAGCTGGCAGTTCAACTCCTTGGTCCTGGAGCTAACCCCACATTCTGCTCCAGAAGTCTTGTGTGACACAACACTGGAAGAAAAGATGATCCAGAACTTCATCTTCATCATGGCACAATGAGCACCCAGCAGTATCAAATTTAAATCTAATCTTTAAAAAGCATTAGTTGGGTAGATACTGTTTAGAATTTTAAAATGGACTTCCTTTACTTTTGGAGGAAGGGGAAAAGAAATATATTTTGTTCTAATTTTAGAGATTACATCTAATCTATAATCTTTAAGAATATACTGCCGTTTAACCTGACCAGGGTACAATTCCTTTTGTAAAATTCTCCGAGTCAACTTATTTGTCAATTTCTTA